TGAACTTTTGGAACGAATCGTGACAGTGTCAGATGCTCAACAAATGGCACCTCGAACCTCTTCAAGATCGAGGAAATACGATGATTCTGACATTTGCGTAGACAACGAATTAGGTTTTGCAAAAGATCGCACCATTAGTAGGTAAGAGAGGTTCACACTCTTTTGGTTGAAAAAATCGGGACATTCTCTCTATCTTGTCTTTACATTTTACACACGTTTGTTATGTTAACTCATAAAATAAATGCACGTTGTTCACTCTTTCCCCATTTTTTTATTCTTATATTTCCAACTAAATTCTTTTTCAATAACGTACATTTGGGAGCTACTAAGACAGCCTTGATATGCTGGTTTCCATTGACAAAGATGGTGAATGCACAATCTTATAAATTTGGTTTTTAAATCAAATGATTTGGCTCTCTCTCTCTCTCTCTCTGGCTCTCTCTCTCTCTCTCTCTCTCTCTGTGCGCACGAGCACTTTTTGTGTGTTTGCTGAGATGAAACCCTCTTTTTTCTTTCACATAAAACTCTCAATTGCTCCAAAATTTTCCATTCATATTGTATATGAAAAGGTAATCTGCAAGTTTTGAATGTTCTTATATAAATATGGAGATGTAAATATGGAAATGTTCTGTGAAATGCAGGTTGACAGAGATGAATAGCAGAGAGTATTTAGAGCAACATGCTGCAATGTTGGCAGAGAAGCCCGTCCTGCAGGAACATGATAATGAGAATGCCCTACAGTCAGCCCTGAATGAGTGAAGAATTGTTCTGTAAAATTGTGCATTACATAGACATAGTGCGAGGTTAAAGAATCTGGTTCGATTTTGGACAGAAACCCCATAAATAGAGAGGATTGAAGCTGGTCATCGTCTACTTGGATCAAGATGAATACATTTTGTAATGTCTCTAATCCAATACAGTTGTAACATTATTGCTCTTTATAATTCAATAACGTAAGTTGGGAAGACAAACAAAAGATCCTACTACAGAATGAAACGATGAGGTGCCATTTACTGGTCATTGAATCATTACAGATATACAATATCAAATATCAATATGCTTAAAGCAATATTTTCCAACTTTGCGCTGAAAGAGGGGAGAGTTTTCAAATGTATGATCAAAATGTTCTGAGATCAATACCAAGACAAACAAGCTTTCTGACCATCACATCATTCTACCAACTTTTTACATGTGTCATGTACCGTCTCTCTCTTGAAGAAGGAAAATATAGAGAATTTAAATGCAAGAAAGCAACCTAGCGCTGAAAGGAAAGCGAATATGAGCCAGTATTAGGATCTTTGACAGCTTTGAAGTTGTCGGTGCTCATCCCAAAACGACCCAGAATGCTATTTCCCATTTCTTTCAGTTTCCCTGCCAATCAACGAGAGACTTTTGTGAGAGAGAGCATGTCTAAAGAATCCAGCGTTTTCAAAGCAGCTGATTTCGATTCTTAAGAACATTCAGTCATCGTCAAACCAAAGGCCATTTAGAAATAATAGATTTTTTTTCATTGATAATAATAAGATAGTTACATATATATTGACTTTTAAAGCTTCTCTAAGGATAAACGTGAGCAAGCGCAATATATCTTCTGCATACCTTTTGTTCTATTAGCAAGATATTGTGAAAGACTGTATCGTCACGGAATCACCTCAGGAACACATTAACTACATATAATTGGGCTTATCAAAAAGGAGTGAACGAAATGCACACTTTCTGAAATTGAGAAAATCTAACCAAAGAATCATGTAACAAGGAAAGGAAGCACTGAAGACAAGATGTTCGGACAATCAATCTACAAAGACATTTTACAAAGTAATGAACATAAGCAGCAGAGCAAGTTAATGGTAATTTATTATCTTCAAATATTGCAAGTGCAGGCCAGTAAAAGTTTCTAGAGTTATTTACAATGCACCAACTGCACATATCCAGGGAACCATTTAAAATTTACATGCAGGAAATCTTACGATACAAGTTCAGAATTAGCCAGGCATTATCACAGTGTCCCTCTTTTATCTTTGAGGTGAAATGAATATTTTTATGCTCTCATACCAAAATATGTAAATGATACACATGATTCAGAATACTCGTATAAAATTTCATAGGATGAATATTCTTAAGCAACTTGTTTTATTGTGAATTGCATCAATGCTTACTTTAATCTGGGACAACCTGAGACCACCAGTCCACTTTTTCGAAGAGGTGGCTGACAAAGTACCAAATTTAACACTTCTAAAATGGTAACAGAAAGTTACAATGGCACATCAGAATATGTCTACGTATAAATATCTCGAGATTTACAAATTATAGACAAGCAAGCACAGCTCTCATTGCTCAAAGTACCAAAGAATAGCACTCAGTTATTTGACCAAATGAAACTAGGTTAGAGGCAAACTCAGAGGGACTGAAGTTTCGGATCTTTCCTGTCCAATCTAAAGGAATAAAAACTGATTGCAAAACACCAACGCCTGGTCATCATCTAAGTAGGTTTTTGACATGGTAATCCATTCTGAAGTATCAATCTTTTCAAAACTTAATTCAGGGAACATCAGTTTCTGTATCTTAAGTCTCTTTATAATGTACACCGTCGCAAAAACCACTTGTACACGAATATTGCATATATGTTCTCTCTTTTTCTCCAAAAATGGAAAAAAAAGAAAAGGAATAAAAACTCAAAAAGAAAAGTTTGTCCTCTTAATTTGTTAATTCTTCTGGTAATATCATATTTTCTAGTAAATAGACAACCAAAGGTCCAAAACAATACTGGCTCTGATTTTGAAATTATCTGGCTCTTAATAAGATCATTGCTAGGCAATAGGAGAGACACGAACTTGGGTTGGATTATATCCAACTGATGGAACTCAAACAGACTTGTTTTGAGTGAACTTGAATAGAAAACTTAAAAGTCTAGTGAGCCATATAAAAATAAACTAGTGTGAGTGCATTTGCATCTGCTGTGCACTGAGAAGCCACATCAATCAGGTGTCATGTCTTCCTGAGGCAGATAGTGACCAAGGGTGTGATACCAATAGTTTAGAGTCACAGAATGAAGACAAGGAATAATTCACCAAAGGGTGCAAAACAAGCACTGTATATGTACAGATTTAAGTTATTTGAGCTCACCAATCATCTCTTCCTTAATCTTTTCACGCTTTTCATCTGCTAATGGTTTTAACCGAATGATGCTTCTCCTAGCTTGGTCATTTGAGTGATCCAATTCCAAGATTTTTGTCATGTCTGCAAGAAAAGAATAACGAAGCAGGAGATGAGAAAGACATGAAAAGCGAAGTGACAAATCTAATACAATTAAATGACTCATAGTGTTGCACATACAACCAAATTCAGTTTGCTCATTTAAACCTCTGACAATGCACATAACTGCATGTATACCCACAGCCAATGGAGAGAAAGGGGACAGCGAAGGGAAGAGGAATAAATGACACAGAGAAGACAAGTAAAAATAAATGCATCCAGCAAGTAACATATAATAGTTGTGTGCAACTTTACCAGAAATAGCCTCTTCGTATTGTTCAAGCTTTTCGCGTGCCTCCGCTCTTCTTTGCAGTGCTCTTAGGTACGTAGAATTTAGATCTAATGCCTTCGTACATTCCTTGATTGTCTCTTCAAATTTTCCCTGCACACCAGTTGAACATCAAAAATTCATAACACTGTCACATGCATCAAACCAGTAGGGGGAAACTTCAAAACAACAGTCAAGCTGTCAATTATCGATGATTAGATAATGCTAATACAGTGATGAATAAGCTTACGTGCCCAATTCCACTCCCACCCAACATAGCAAAAGAAAGAAAAAAAAAATCCCGCCTCTTTTCTATCTCCAACTAGGAGGAAGGAAGGGTGAATGAAGAGCTCATGTACATTATACAAAGTAGCACTAGAAGAAGAGCAAAATCAAACTCATGAATCATGATGTAGGGGAAAGAAATCGACTGCTTTCCTTTCCCACCCACTTTGAACACAGGAAATTGCCCCTAAATTAGATAATCCAAAAACCAACAGCTTATGCAAAGTGCAAACATCCACTTTGGTCAGAGTACCCCTTTTCACTCCACACTTAAATGAGATAGAAGAAAATTGCATGTGAATGATCCAAGAGATGACAGCATTATGCAATGGGACAATTCCAGAAGTCATATACCAGCACTGTGCAGTAGTTACAGAAAGAACCATAAAAGTGGGTTTCAAGGTTTATCCCCAGTGTGATGTGGGAGGCAGAGATGCACTGAGAAAGATGGATATACTGTAGAACTTTCCATACCATGATTATAAGCTCTGTCCCTAAAAAAACCTTCAAAAACTTGTGCAACCGAACATGTTATGGAAAAACAGTTTTCCATTAAAAATTAGAGCAGATACTTTAAAATTGATTCGAGTTTCTAGTGAGAACCTAACAGGAGAACAAGATCAAGGCCACAAGTTTCTATCCATTTTTTCCGAAGGTATGACACTAAATTAATTAGGGTGCGTTTAATTACAAGCATGAAATTTGCATGGAAAAAAATAAATTCCAGGCAATTCAATTGCCTATAAATTATTTGTATGGAAATTATTAATTAAATGTGTTTGATTAATTTAGTTTTCAACCTAAGAAATATTACACGTGTCCATTAGTCCATTTTTTATTGGTAGGTAAATGAGAGGGGGATAAATGAAAGAGAAAGAGAAAGTGAATTATCTGAAAAATGAAAAACCCCTCTCACTAAAGAAAATATTTTCCTTGTTTTCAAGGAAAATATGGTCACATGATCAAAAGTAGGAAAATATTTTCCGTAGAAAAAATTGTCAATCAAACAGCACAAAAGTAGAAAATTAGGTAGAAAAAACACATTTTCCATGAAAAATATTGGCCATCAAACTCACCCTTAATGTTTTCAAAGTTCTTACGAAATGCAAATTTGACCAAATTTCAGTATTTTCTGAACATATTATATAGAGATTATTACTCTGAAACCCATTTCCTGTCCCCCAAGAAAGACAGAATAAAACAAGAAAAATGTATGAAAACGAGGCCAAAATAGTTTAATAAAAGGTCTCTCTTTGCTCACCCACCAATATCAAGGACAAAAGCACCACATGCATATAATGTAACATGCTTAGTATCAAGAAACATTTATTATTCTTTATCGAGAATAAAGTGGAGCACACAATAGAGCTCTGCATATCACAGATCTCAGGTGCTTACCTCCATAGAAGAATAAGGCATTCGAACAAACACAGAATACACAATATCAACCTTGATAAGAACATACCAGTTTGGAGAAACAAGCGGCTCGATTTGCATGGCAAATAGAACATATTTCAGCAGAGGAAGGCCCATCTGGTGCAACTTGTACTGCGAGCTCGTACTTTAACAGCGCTTCTTCATATAGTCCAGATTTAAATAAAGAATTGCCCTCAAGTTTTGCATCATTCGCTTGTGCCAAGGCTTTCTATTTATCGAATTGTGAAAAAAATCAAAAGGAAGATAATATAAAAAAATAAAAATTGACTAGAGTTACCAACAGGGTAAATTCAAAAATAAAAGGGAACAAAAAACTCCTCAAAATCTATGAACGCAAATTTAAAGAAGGAATCAACTTGTTTAATGATTATCATAGTGTGAACTATGCATTTCCATTTTCTTACTGACTACATATCTTGCAATTCCATGTGGCCTGATCATCAGTTTGGACCTAAATTTCTTGAGCTTGACGCAAAACCCAAAAACACAATTAACTACAACGTGGTTCAAGAAAAAAGCAAACAAAAGAGCAATAGTATCAAAAGAAGGTAATATATCTCAGAACTTGTATAGCAATGATAAAGTTTATTATCCAGACATCAGACATCTGAGATGCTATCATGACAATACAGCAAGTGAATCAGCGCGATGCTATCATGCAAAACAAAAATAAGAGAAAATCAAATTAGCAACTATTACTTGTCGCCCCTCGAATCAGAATAACAGAAAATTTACGAGAATCCTCTTCTAGTCCTTTTTTTTTTATTTATCATTGTTCAATTTTATTTTATTTTTTGGTTGGGTGGCGGTGGTTCCAGAGGTCACTATATTCCAATAGACAAAAGCTAATTTCTATAGACTCGATATGACGATGCAACAGAAAGTTACCCAGAGAAAAATACATAGGGAAGTAACAATACCTCATTGAGTTCATTGCCTCCGGATTCACTTTCCTCCTTTCGTTCTTCTTCTTCCTTGACGTCACGCCTTACGAGATCATCACCATTATCATGGTTTCCAACAGTATTGTTGTTGTTTTCCGGTTCTCGATCGGCGTCATTTATCTCAGTTTCGCTGGCGGTTTCGTACCCATCAGAATCGTTTTCGGAAGTCACAGTCGTTGCGGATTCAACAGTATTTCCGGGTCCGTAAAGTGATTCCTCTCCCATTGTTGCAGTACTTGACTTTTCTTTGGTGGATTCTTGAACTGGAGAAGTTGAAATTGGTTCGAGTACTACCATTTTTTTTAATTTTTTTGTGAAATTGTTACTAGATTCTAAAAACCTTCAATTTTTTTCTTTGTTTGAGTGATTCTGATTTGTTTGTAATTCCAGAAAGCTCTTTTCTTTTCTCTGCAATTTCCTGTTTGTTCACATTTTTGGGCTTTAAATTCCTATACCGATTTCTTTGAGCCCGATAACAAATATTAAATAAAATGAAGGGAAAATTACCTGAAAACAGGCATTTAAGTTTCCAAATTCACAAATCAGGTGTAAAGTTTATTGGATCTTGCTTGGAGTACATAGAGCATAACATAGGGGTTAACATAATACTCACATGAGGGTGAGACCCATGTGAAGTGGGATACACACATGGGTCCCACCCCATGTGAGTATTATGTGTACCATTATGTAGAAACATCATGTACCAATAGACTTTTCCTTAAATTATCAAAAATCAGATGGTAATTATATTTTATAATTATAATTATTCAAATTTTAAAACCCTAATTTGTCATTTTCTTCCAAATTCTCTAACTCGCTTGTCTTATCGCTCCTCTCTCTCTCTCCCTCTGTCATCCTACAGTCGCCGACACAGGAGACAACAACGGATGAGTCAACGTCGCCAGCCGATGTTGTGAGAACCGTGATGGGTCGTCGATGCTGCAGTGTCACGATGTCGCCGCAAAGTCGACGCTGCAGTTCGCAGTAGCATCGCGCTGACTGATGCCGGAGACTCATTACGGCCCGACGACAGCTTTAAGGATCTATTATTTTTCTTCTTCTTAGCCTATTTTCTTTATGCGGTTGGGTGTGGTTGTGGTGTTGGTGGTGTTATTGTGGTGATCGATCAGTTGCTGTGGCAGTGTTTTTGAGGTGATTTTTGTGATGGTTGGTTGGTGGTGGATTTCGAATGGTGGTGATGGTGTTTACGGTGACGATGACTGAGATTGGTGGTGGTGGTGCGACGGTAGTGGTGGTGCGCGGTGGTGTTGTGGTGGTGGCGACAATGGAGGGGTAAGGATTGCCGTAGTGCCAGTGGCGTTATTCAGGTTAATGCCAAAGCTCAAATTCCACAAAATCTTCATATTCAAACTTAATTTTGGATCAATTGATTTTTAGGACCAATTGTGATTGTTTGTGACTGGTTAATTGTGATTCGTTGTGACCAATTGTAATCGATAGTGACTGATTGTGACTTGAAATTCTGGAAATTTTTTGGAAGTTAGGAGTGGGTGGATGGGGTGGGTAGGTTGATCGGAGCATGCGTTGGAGTGGTCATTGGAGCAGTTCGCTAGAGGGATCATCGAATAGACGTCGGAGAGAGCGTCGGGATGATCGCCGGAATAGTTGTCGGATGCCGGAGTGATCGGCGGAGGGACTACAGTAAAACTTTTCTCAAAGCTGGACACCCTCCAGTGTTTTTTTAAGTTAATGTCATAAATAAAGAGAAATAAATGAAAAAGGGAAAATCTAAAGGAAGAGAAATGTTTAATCTGAGATTTTCTAGAATTTTTAAGTTGTTGGAACGGTCGCTGGAGAGGTCGTCGAAACAGTTGTCAGAATAGATGGCCGCCTCCGATGGAGAGAAAAGGTAGTGAGATGATAGAGAATAGAGAGAGAAATAGAATGAGAATGATTTAGATTTGAATTTGAAATTTAATAAATTGGAGTAATTATATTATATTATAATTAAAAATATTTAATAAATTGATTTAATACCGATTTTTGAAAAGATTTTTGGAGTTTGTTATTTTTGAAATATAATTCTTATATGTAAGATTTATGTATTGTTCCCTAAAATGAAATGTCCATATATGGATAGGATAAAAATTAAAAAAATTAAATAAAAATTGATAAAATATATAGTTAAAAAATTAATAAAAATTATGAATTTCATAAAATTTATAGTTAAAAAATAAGTTTTAAAAAAATGAAGCCAAATACATGATCTCATATTTTTAATTCTTTGGTATAGGTAACATTATCAAAGATGGCAACGAGTTGATCTGGACCGATCGGGATAGGTCTCCACATCCTCATCAGCCCTATGTATTTATTTTGTTAAAAAAAAAAAAATTAAGATTAGAGGTGGAGACCATATTTTCTTGTCATCAGCCATTGGATTGGAGGCGAGCTGGACCCAAATATTTTCCAATCACTGGACATTTCATATTTAGGATACAGATGATCGAATTTTTCCCATTTCTAAACTTCATATATTTAGGTTACAGACGAGCGAATCTCCAATTCTGTCCTCTTATTCGTCCGTCCATTATTTCTTGATAGACCAAAAAACTATTATTAGCAATCGGCGAAATGCCCAAATGCAAGGCATTCTAAACACATATTCAAGTAATTTTTCTAGCAAATTGTCCGAATCAACTTGACCATGGTTTAATCTTTAAACGGAAAATAAACATGATAAAACTAATACGATTTAATCTTTAAATGGAAAACAAAAAAATGAAACAACTTTAATGCATAGAATTTTGCAGCTCAAAAATCCCATTCTGCACAGTCAAGTTTTGTTTTGTTCATGAATATCCATTTTGTTGAGGGTACATCGTAGACGTTATTTTCTCCTTCTTGATGCAATCTCTGAAGCCCAAGCTTTTCCCAACTCAGTTTGGAACTTTCCTGCAAAAACTCGAGCATAAGAAGATAACTAATATATATGGCACAGCATAACAAAAAGAACCTATTTGATTCAAGATTTCATACTAAACTATGCTGTTTTCTACCATATGTGCATATGCCACACTAGAAGGGCGTATGTAGTAAGACGTATGATGAAAATGTATCAAATTATTTAAGGCGCCAATCACAATACATTTGTTGTTTCCAAATCATTTAATCCAGTAAGACAAACCTACAAATCATTTATTCCAGTTTTCTGATATTATTTTATCTCATTTCTACAATTTTTTAGAGACCACTGCTTATGCATGCAGAAGTAAATCGAGTCATCTAGAAATCGAGATGCAGGTTCTGGAATATGGCATGTATACGTCTACATTATTCACATAAACCCACTTCGATATGGACAATTAAGCATGTCTGCACAAATCTAGGTTCTAGATCATCTTGTGGTTCCAAATACACTACCTGCAGTTGACTGGAAAAACTCCTCCAAATCTTTCCCCTGATCTACATATTGTAAAAAGATAATTTTAGCTCCAAAAGATTTCATAAAACTGATATTTGATAAGAAAATTAGCAACAAACACGACCATCGCACAAAACATACAATCATATATGACAGATTCTATTTAACCTGATGGGAGAAAAAAGTCTGTAAACCAATCAAAATGAAAATGGCTAAACTGGATATAGGCAATAAAGTGGTATAACACAACATGTTTATGAAGTAATCAACAATATAAAAGCAATCAAAGTTAAATCAACCATGAGAAAAAAATTGCATAAAGTGATATGCATCAGTCTTGAAGAAACATGAGTTGCATGAGAAGTTGTCGATTGTCATTTACTTTTACAGATGGCCCCTACACAGCATCATTTTGTAAAATTTGGCCACAGATGGTTTCTAATGTCTCTATTATCGTATCTACACAACAACATGCTTAATAGGAATTGGGAAAAAAGGTTAAAGCTGCAAAAATGAAGATAATATCATGCGAAATAGTTATTATAATAATGTAGATGCTTGTTGCACGGAATTTCTATACTGTAATATCATAATTAAGAGAAAGTGTCTTCACCTTCTCTTTAGTTTTTACCTTCACAAAGTGCAACAAGCAGCAAGCATCCACAATCCAGATTATCTAATCAAACTTTGTGCATATTATTCGGTGCAACTATAATCATTCCAAATACACCTTGTTTAGATTGTAATATGTCCTTTAAGAAGTTAGAAAGCTAATTGCTTAAATAGCAAAATTAAGTGGAACACAGTTTACAGGGAGATGTAGCCAGAATACACCAAGAAGACAAGAAAAGTAATGCAACAGCAACTGAAAAAATCCTTCTGTTAAAACGGTGTACACTCTACTTCACATCTTAACAAAAAAAAAGGAAAGAAAGGGGAAAAAAACAGATTTTCTACTGTTCCTCTCATTATGCCATCACTTCGCAAAAAAGTCTATTCTAACGCCCCGGAATTTTATGGAATGGAATTATTTTGGTGATAACAATTTCGATCAAGATATATTTTTATTATTTTGGAAAGTTAAGGGACTAAAGCGATATAGGCATTAATTTTTTTACTTTCTTGGGTCAAATAGTTAAATATTGATAGAGCTTGAATTAACTTATCAATATTAGGCTCGTTGGATAATTCTTATTAAATGAAGCACTATGAATTTGAGAAAAAGAAAATTCGGATAAGTTAAACCCAAGATATTGAAGTTTAAAGAAATTGTAATTTATTAGAATTTAATTAATTTGATTATTAAAGGGTTGACAGCCACATGTACCTTTATATAGATATAAGGTAAAAAAATTGTTGGTTTAGGATTTGACGTGTTAGATACATGAAAATCCTATTTTAATTATGGTGATGGTTAATTGTTAATCCCATTTTGATTATAATTATAATCCTATTTTGATATATTTTAAATTCCACTTATCGTTATCCAAATTGAATTAAAATTTTAGTCTTCACTTTTATTAAGTATTCCTTTTAATCTTGGTTAGATTTGTATGAGTAGATATGTTTGACTATTGTGATTAGGATACTTCTAATTAAGCAAAATTCCAATTAAACTAACCTATGAATTAGCATATAAAATTATTAGGCATTTTCCCATCTCCCCGCCACTACATGTGTCTAAGTATTTATTTATTTTAAAAAAAAATATTTTTCACCTACTAAAGACTTTACGAGATGAGATAAAATTTTATGAAGTCATTCTTATTCTATTTACTAGTGGAGCACGACTCCTCAAGCCCTGTTGCACCACAATCTAATTGTTACCTTTTTTTTTGTCCTATATTTCGCATGAAGTCGAGAAATTTTCACAACAAAACATTTATACATAAACACGATCAGAGAGAGTCGAGGCAGAGAGAAAGAATCATAGGAAAAGGATTTTCACGTAAATTATTTTACATTCCTTCACAACTTTTCAAATATATTAAAGTAAGATACTTTTGTACAAGTGGTTCGTTTCCTTATATTTTTATATTCAATAATTTATGCATGAATTGCTAATAAACCTTAGGATTCTTTATTAAGATATATGAAATTCTTCGAGAGTTTAAGATAACCTAAGATGGGTATCTCACTTGATCATCGATATACTCCACAAAAGAAGAGTGGTATGAAGTGTCTATTCTATTGTTATATAATTCTGTATGAAAATTACACGTATCTTATTGGGTACTTTTAGATACTCATTCTTACAAAGATTTTACAAGTAAATTCGAGTCGATTTGAACTATGGCGGGATGGTGATGCAGACTGTCAAGAGGATTTGAAAAAATAAAATTACTAGATTTTCTATCTTTAATTGATTAATTAGTTTCATTTATGTTCAATGACATTTTTACTTAAATAGTAGTTGAGTACGTTTATTGTTGAACAATAAAACTTTAATGTTTAGTTTAAGTTCATGGATAACCCATATTTTTATTAAATAAATTTTTTTTAATCATTCCGTACTTACATGTAAAGAAAAATGAGTATTTGGTAACACTTTTTATGAAAATTTGGGATGTTACATCTATGAAACTTGCCGACAAGAAAATTTCTCTTCTGCACGCTATACAATTATGCATAAATCAAAAGCGAAGCAATCAGTATCACATATTCCAATATGTTCTAAATATGTGTGCCGCAACCTTCTATATAGTCAGTAAGTACCCATTAATTGCTCAAGATGTGAGACCAATAGCATGAGTAAATCATATTCCATTAGGCATGTCAATCCTCATGCTTTAGCACAGATTTGAGTATATTAACCACTCGAGCTAATTCTTCAAAATTAAACTCTCTTGACAATAGAAAGCTTAGTCTTTCAAGTGAAAAATATAACTTTCATTAATTTTCCACTCATGCATGCTATCTCCAACTTCGGCCATTCTTTTTCTAGAGTCTAATAATTATTGAAATATATATTGACAAAAACAAAAGAAGAGATGGAGAAGCATATTAAGGCAGAAACTATTATTGCAATACTAAAGAAAATCCAGATCCTACAAGCTTAGAAGGCTACTACCCAACAAGATATACAGAGCTTACAACAGGCTGTTGAATTTTAACATAGAAAAAGGCACAACTAGACAACGGTTTTGTGAAAAAGATGTACAGTAAGAAACTGCATATTAAATGTAAAGCAATTCAAAGGACTTATCATAATAATTTTCAAAAATTATCAATATGTAAGAGAACATCCAAAAGAATTGCTGTAAATCAAGTTGTGTGTCTTTGCTCATATTTAAAGAAAAGTTTTACTTAAAACTAATCATTCAAAAAACGTATTTTTCAGGAACAACCAAAGAATAAGTACATCGTGGCATTACCATTTTCATATTCCAAAGCTTGAAGTATCATCTCTACCTGTATGTAAAAGAAGCAAGCAGATTAATCCACAAAGTTCCCTTAATAAAGCACTTAGCGTATTAGTTACTGACAACAAGATATAGAATTGTCACCACTTAAGTCCATAGCTAGGGACATCAATTAGTTCAACTTAAATGTTAAGAATTCCGATTTAGAAATGCGAACATGTCATACCTTGTCAAAATCTTTCACAATCTTAGCTTCTTGAGTAGAATTCTCTTCATATTCCATCCATAAATCAGCTATCTCCTTTGCTGTCATGAGCATAACACAATCAACCAACAAGAAGTAATATATCATTTTAAATTAGAATACAAATAAATTTAGTAAATTGCCATAGATATAAGAACAGAAGAGAAACAAACCCCGTGGCCCTCCACCAAGTAATTTACACGTGCTCCAGTGCTTCACGCTCTCGTCGATTTTTTTCATGCTTTGGAATCCCATCAGAAGGAGTGATGTCCCCAACAATAGCTGTTGAATCAAGAACAAATTCCTAAATCCACTAATCCAAACAAAATTTCAGGTCTAATAAATATTATTGGCCAAAACAACCTTCATCCAAAATACTCGGAACTCTGTCAATTTTGAATTTGTGGTTTGGATTTCCAACATCAGTCCCACCTTTTAAGTATCAAATTATAATTTTCTTTAGCTCACAATATATTGCTTATAAAGCTAATTGCAATATTTCGATCAAATTGAAAGCATTTGACTCTCTAAAAGTGAAAATAAAACCATAAGAAATAGTTCAAACTAGTCTTATTAAAGTTTGTGCTGACCTAAACGAGGACATTATGTTTGCATGGAGGATGCACATCATGGATAAAAAACATAATTACTTCAGAAATTTATGATTCAGAATAACCCATCGTACCTTCTGCAATATCATGAACAATAGCCATTTTTATGCACCTGCAATGTAAGGAAATAAAAAAATTAGCCAAGAAAAAATATAGTTTGTTAGAAAAAAATTTAGTTTTAAGACATAACCGAAATATCTAAACGAATGTTGAGAGTGCAATGATAATTAATCAGCTTTACTTGTCTCGATTAATCTCAGGAATGTCAGCACAGATTAAAGCCATTAACCCCATCCGATACATGTGATCTGCAATAGATTCCGGGTTCTCAACTTGTCTTCGCACCCATCCTTCCCTCTTTGTTGTCTACTTGAATTCACAATAAAATCAACAAACACAGAGATCAGGTAAAAGAATAAAAGTTGCAAGCAAACCTAAATAATGTACATCGTAACATGATTAGATACCCGCACAAGCACAATAGCAGATTTACTGAGCCACACATAGAAATATAATATCTTGTAAAAGAAATTGATCATCGACAAAGAAATTATTGATTTTCTTTTGAGGTACTAATTATAAACCTTTGGCATAATTATAATGCATAAAAAGGTCGTTTGCATATATAAAACTTCTAGATTGAATGAAGGATAGTTTCTACATATCTTCCAGACACCATAGCAAAGTTTGTTGAAATTCTTAGTAAATTAGAACCTGGTATGAAAACAAATAGATGGAATACATTGACTAGAAAAGGATACTGTTACTACAATGCAACTTCTTCTACAGATAGTTTTAATTTTATTTCTCGTATCCCCAAAGTCACAATAGAAGCATTAAAATTGTAAGTCGTTATACATTGAGAAACCTCTCCAAAATCAATAATATGAATGATTTTTTTTTATTATTATTTTTTGCAAAACATTAATTTGGGAAGTGGAATGAAGTAAGTTTCTGCATATTTAAGCAACTAAAGATGATCAACTTTGAGAATACTCAGTATAGTCATTAAGTATGGAATCAACTATATGTAAGATCAAAGACAACAAGGTACATAAAACCAGAAAAAGGCTAGTGGAATCTTAGGAACTGCAGTGAAAATGTAATGACCGAAACAAACGTAAAAAAATAAAATCATGAGAATGACATAGCTAATATCATCCCACCAATACACTGTACAATCTCTGAAGCATAAAGGCATAATGTATAATAACAAAGTGGGCAATTGTACATACAATCCATCAGTGTATGGAAGATTTGAAATGAAAGAACTGATGCAGAATTTTTAACACTTCGGAATTTCGCTCTATAACAAGAACAATTTTACCAACCACAAGTATCAATACACGTGGTACAACAATTCTGCCACATAAATTGCACTTCATAGGCCTTACCTTACTCCATAAAACAAATGGATAGATAATTAACAGTAATACGCAGGGTGACACTAAGCCAATCAACCAAAACGAGGTACAACCACTAATGCACATATTACAACATAATAAACATTCCTATCTAAGTGTAGCCTATATCCATATTCTCCATTATTCATCTAAGCTGTAGATCAGTCACTACAAAAACAAAGTAAACAACAACATCGTTGTGTACGTGCGTGGAAATATCAAAATACCTTGAGGCGGTGGCAAAGAGAGAGAAAATCGATGGCGGATGCGGCGGAAGGAGAGGACGAAGAGGAAGATTCGGCGGCCATTCGGGGAAATTGAGGAGGAGAGGACGACGTAGAAGAGGAGGTTCGAAAGGGTAGGAATCGGAGATGAGTGCAAGTGAGAGAGGGCGTTAATGAAATGGATTTGCTTATCACTCTACTCATTGTTTTGCGGCTTTTGCCCCTTGCTACTTACAGTGGACTTGCGTTTCTGTTGAATAAAAGTTTGATATTTTTTCGAGTTTTTTAATGATTTGGACGTCAGTATAATGCCCTTGGGTTACCTTATTTTCTCATTAAAATGAAAAATATGACCGTTATCCATTACATCAATATTTAAATTCAAATTTTCTATCTCTTGTATGACCTCAATAACGACTATATTTTTCATTCTCATTCTAAAAAAAGGTGGCTCAAACAAGGCCATTGGTGTAGGAAGTGGTTGGGTCCGATGGTCGGTCCAGAGCTACCTATACGATAAACACTAGATTAAAATGTTTTCAAAATTAGATGGTAATCCAGGGTGGGATGAAATTGGGTTGCCCCCCTCGTCTTTCAGACTTTGGGAGGTTGTACGGTCTCGAGATTAAAATATTCTCATTTTTTTTATTTCTAAATATAATTTAAAGAAAAATGCTACTCTACAAGGCTTTGGTTCGCAGGTGGGTTACAGGCTCTCTCTCAATGAGGTGGGCCCCACGTGCAATAAAAAATGCCCAAAAAAATACTCACCCCCATGATGTGAGTAACCTAGATCGACCCTATGAGCTACCACCCTAGTAATGTAGCAGGGCTCTAATTTAAGTTATAAAAGTAACATACAATTAAGAAGAAGAAAAAGAGTTAAAGAGGACAAATTTCTCATCATCTTGTATCCCTTTTTTTTTAATGTAAAATATGAAATTGGGCATGTGATGCCATGAGCTTTCCCTCCTAACTAGCTACGGCACCAGCGCATTGCCCCAAGGTGCCCTAAAGTTCCCCTATCGAATTGTTATATTGAATTATACCGAAAGATCTCGATCAGAGCGGACATATTCCAACCATGAATACCCCTTTAATCACATGATAACTAGTCAACATTACAACTTATTAGTACAAGATGCAAAATTGGTTTTGAATATTTTTATTTATGATTAAGGTGCGTTTGAGCCACGTTATTTTGAAAAAATATATTTTGGAATAGTAAATTGATGGAAAATGTGTGGTTGAAAAAGAAGGAAAAGTTATTGATGTGATAGAAAATATTATTTTATTTAAAAATGTGTGATTGGAAATGAGTAGAAGAAAAAAAATGAAAATTTTAATATGACTTAAACATGGGCTAAAATATAAATTATGTTACATTATTGTTCTCAACTCAAATATCCAATTTATATTATTACAAATGATTATTAGCAATTTTATTCAAATGATCGACATTAAGGGCCTGTTTGTTTTTAGCTCTCAAATTCTACAGTAAATCAATTCTCATTTTCAACCACACATTTTTCAATAAAATAATATTTTCCATCACGTCAATAATTTTTTTTCTTTTTCAACCACACATTTCCCATCATATAACTATTCAAAAATCAATTCTTCCCCCAAAAATCCCTACCAAACAGGCACTAAATAGAAATAATAACAGAAAATAAATAAAAATAAATTTTATCAATCCAGTGTAATATATAAATAATACGGTGACCATTATAAGAATTCAACCCAAAATTAGGTACAACAAAAATTTCAAGGTATATCATTGACCAGATGGGTAGTAGAAATTTTGCTATATACAGTACTTCCGTGCAATTCAATTTCTTCCCCATTTTCATTCTTACACTGGAAGTAAAAGACTGTGTATATCACAAATGTTAAAATCTTCACCAGACAAGAAAAAATCACCAGAAACAACCCAGAAAATGTTTGACCTTGAATCATCTTGGAACCTAAATATATACCCAAAGAGAGCAGATTCAAGAAAATGTTCAATATGAAACCGTTTAATCTGTTTCCCTTAACAATTTCTGCAGATTTTCCTAATGCTTGAATCCCACAAATTTCTTCTTCATGTACTGTCACCACTATGGCCATAATCCATGCAACAGATATATAGAGATAAAATATGTAAGCAAGAATTCCGAGCAAAATGGCACTTCCAAGAATGTCTAGATCGGAAGACATGAGAAGTGGAGTGCCCAAAGATATGGCAAAGAAAGTGAATCCCGCGACAAGAATTGTTGTGTAAAAACCAGTGATGAACATTCTTGGACAAGATTTCACAAACTTTGAAGTCAATTCCTTTAAGGTTAGGGTTTTGAAATTGTAAGACATGGCTGAAACAGAAACTGTATTGATTGTCGAGAAGAAGGAGATGATTAAATAAGAAAGAACAAATGCAATATAAGTTGCTAGGACAAGTGGGAAGTTTTCCTTTATTCCCATAAGCTTTGTCGCAAACTCGGCGCTGTTAGAACTGGTCATAGGGAATAAGGATTCTTTGGGAAGCATGTCTCTCATCAAGGAAAATGACGAGAAGTTGAAAATCAAGAAGAAGATTGAGGACAGAAGTAGGGAAATTATGGTTACTGAAAATAGCAGCTTTCCATTTCTGGGAAGAAGTTTTACAGTTTCCTGCAAAGTAATAAGAAACCCAAAATATGGATGAAATTCCATGGCTTCTGCAGAGTTTAGATGTGGAAATTGAAATATCTGTAATTTGGTGTAAGGCAAGAGGTGAAGTATTTATTTGGGTTTGTGAATTTGATCTGGTTCAACTGCATTACCAAGTCAACAAATATCGAAGAGGGAAGAAAATGACTAATTATACTAGGTCAATAATTTGAATTTTTTATTTTTATAATAGAGTAATTTGACTTGGTAATACTATGCACAATTTTTTT